TATTATAATATTATATATTATAATAATATTATAATATTTTATATTATTATAATATATGTTATAATATTATTATAATAATATAATGTTATCTATTATTAAAATATTATATATTATATTATATATTATTATAATATTATATATTATATTATATATTATTATAATATTATATATTATATTATATATTATTATAATATTATATATTATATTATATATTATTATAATATTATATATTATATTATATATTATTATAATATTATATATTATATTATATATTATTATAATATTATATATTATATTATATATTATTATAATATTATATATTATATTATATATTATTATAATATTATATATTATATTATATATTATTATAATATTATATATTATATTATATATTATTATAATATTATATATTATATTATATATTATTATAATATTATATATTATATTATATATTATTATAATATTATATATTATATAATAACATTAGATAAAATTTTTAAGTATCGTCTTTTTTTGGTATTTTTGTTTTGAAATTCGGTTCAGTTTTGATGTTTATTTATTATACGTATATGCATATATATGTTTTTATCTATGTATATAAATTTATACATATTTAACTACTCAACATATTATTTTGAAATTGTTATAAATTATTATTAATATTTTTATAAAATTTTTGTGTTTCTCCTTTATTTCTTTCTTTGTTATTCAAAACCCCTCTATATTTTTATAAACATTATTTTTAAATGGTATATTTATGTTTTAGCAATATTGACTTAGATATATATGATATAAAGATGTGTTAAACGGATGTTCTTATTAACGCGTCTCTCTTATTGTCCAATATTTTTAGCCCTCAGTTTTCTTTTTACATACAAACAACGTTTTTTTAAAATGAGAAATTCTTTTAACAAAATTCCTTGTTTGTATTTTATTTTTAAATAATTTAAATAACTTAATTTAATTAGTGTTATAATTTAGTAATATCGCAAAGGATATAAATTAATAATTCAATTTTTTTGTTTTTTTTATTTTAGTTGAAACAACGTTCACGTTCCTTTGTCTTAGAACGACTGGTTGAATATGAAAATCTGAATACAATTGTTGTTAACTTATATCCTGGTAACAAAGGATACTCATTAGCTATGCATTACGATAGTAGAAAAGTATTGTCACAAGTAGGAGATTTAAACTCGACTGAACAAATAAATACTATTGGTGTTGGTAGTGGAACATCAAGTAATTCTACAGGCATTGATAATTCAAGCATTATAGGAAGTTCTTCCTCAATTGCCAAAACTGGTTCTAGTCTAGAAGATTTGTCGTTAACTGAAGTGCTACACTGGCCATACGAAGATAATCTGCTACTAGATTGTATTGATCGAGAAGTGTTGCCAGACTTTCTTATGCACTTGCTAGTTGCACCGACGTTATCATTAAATTTATCACAAGACGACAGTGAACCACCGCTTACTTATGCGAAACCGAATGTATTTTATTCGGGTTGCGTTATAGTACAAATTCGAGATTTTCGGCAAACATTTGCTATTTCTTCGAATGACTGTGATACGAAATATGTGCTATTGCGGCCGACAAACAGCACAATTTTTTCTGAAGTGCACAATTTAGCGATATCAACGAATGCAAATTATGCAGCTACGGTTTTATCATCATCATCGTCCTCATCATCTGCTGTCGTGCCCACTACTTCTACAGCAGAAGATAAACTTATTTTAGAAAGTCAATTGGTGTTAGCTACAGCCGAGCCTTTGTGTTTGGATCCAGATCCTAGTATAGGTCGCATAGCGATTAATGCACAACACCAACGCCAAATATTTAGCACGTCGGAAATTCGCCGTCAAATGAAGAAGTTTTCAATGATTTCGATAAATAGAAAACGAAAGTTGGACCAGTTTACTCACAACTATGGACTCGAATTGTGTGATTATTTATCACGTTTACGTTCGCGACAAAAAGCGAAAAATCTAAATACTGGTGTTAGTCCAATACGTCAACCGCGGCAAGAATATTCAGTTAATTTAAAACTACCAGAGCACATGATTAGTGTTGAAAAGCTTGCAAAACCACTCAAACCACCTCCAAATTATGAATTAAGTTCTAGTAATGATTCATTAAGTGATAAAAATACGTGTATACCCAAAGAACCCCATCCAGGTTTTGACTATCAGCCTAGACTAATTGAGGAGCATATACTGGAGACTGAGCGAAAGGATAATGTAGGACGACTTGTAATTTATCATATAAAATTATCAATATTTCAAAGACCTTCAAACTCGGAATTTTTGGGTGAACTATATGTAGATAGGGATTACCGGGAAGGTCAACGAAATGGTGAATCTTGCAAATTCAGTCTGGGTTCACGAGAACATGCGGTACGCTATATACATCAATTTACTGAAATTTTTACAGAAGAGGGACGAAAAGCTGTGAAAATAACAAAATTGGTACCTGGAGAAATGCCAAAGGTGACATACACACATGAACAACAACAATTACTGTTACAAGAGCAACAGAAAAAAGCAGCACTATTGGCTGCCCAACAACAAAAACTACAGCAGCAACAACAGCAACTGCAACAAATTTCTGCTACTGCACATCAAAATATTGGGGCAACACAACAACAGCATGTTGTTGTTATAGGTCCAAATGGCCAACAGCAACATATTATACCAGCGAGTTTACAGCATAGCGGTAGTAACACGCAGCAACAACATATTGCAATATCGCAAGCAACAGGGAATTTAACGAAAAATATTAATATTGTCGGATTATCAGCCAACAATGCTGCGGCTGTACAACAAGTATTAAGACAACAGCAGCAGCAGCAGCAACAACAACAACAACAGCAAGTTACTACACAGTTTATTGATGCTAACGGTGCTACGGTACAGTTGCAATCAGCGCTCACTGCCAACAATAGTAATAATAATTCTACACAATCTCCTCATTCGCAAACACAGTCAGCTCAACAACAAATACAACTGCATCAAATTGGTGCTACTGGTGCGCCCAATGCACATCATGTAAGCCTAAATAATGGTTCTTTAGTGTTGGTACAACAGCATCCAGCTGCTGTTCAACAAAATCAACAGCCGCAGCAACAAACCCTGCAACATGCTGGTATAACAATACAACCTGCAAATGTTCAACAGCAATTATTAAGTCAACAACAACATCAGCAACAAAAAACTCAAGTTATTACAGCAGCCCACCTCAATGCTGCTGGTGTTAATTCCGCGTTACGTACTCAGTTAAGCTCCAGTGTTTTGGTATGTTTAATGGTTTGCATTTATTGAATAAAATTTTAATTAATTTGTTATTTTATAGCAGGCACAACTTAAAACTGGACCTATTTTAACAACGCAGTCCCAACAACAACAACAGCAATACTTACAAAAGCAGCAGCAACAACAACTATTACAAAAACAACAACAGCAACAGCAAACAACTGCCAGTAATAACACTAATAATTCTAGTAATACAACATTGCAAGCTAATGCCACAATAAATGCAATTGTTACAAGTATAATGAATTCTGCCAATCAATGGCAACAACAACAGCAGCAGCAGCAACAACAACAACAACAACAGCAGCAACAGCAACAACAACAAAATGGTAATACATTTCATATGATTTGTTATGAACAGAAATTCTTACTTTTGAATAATTAAATGTCAGGAAAGATAAGGAAAGACAAGAATACTGTACAGTTTATAATAATTCAATACTATAAAGAATTTATTAAAGATATGCTTATACATATATTGAAAGTAGTAAATGCAAAAGAGGGGGAATATTAAAACAAAAAAATCTAACGAATTAACCAACTCTGACTAATCTAAACATCATTTAAGAAAGCTTTCACATAAAAATATAGATAAAATATGAATTAATTAATTTCAATTTTCAACATCCAAATTTGGATCATGTATTTGAATCATTATTTTATACGATAAGTAACTGTCCAAATTTAAAAGTATTGGATTTGTGTTTAACCACAATACGTAGAAAATTATTATATATTTAAATAGTAGACAATGCCACCTGTTGCAGTTGTTTGGTATTGTTTCCGAAAAATATGAAAATAATTTATGTTAAACCTCAGCTGTAAACAATCTTTTCGTTTGATTATCTCAATATTTAATAAAATAGCCTTTATTTTTTAATTGAAGTACATTTTAATTAGGCTAAGCATCTAATCATTTTTTTCTATGGTGTTTGCCATTCCATTCAATCGAATTTGGGTTCGTGAAAACCATAATTTAGTCGAAACATCCTTTAGAATTTTTATTTTGTATGAATGTGTTACGTTTTTATCTGTTTTTCGCCAAAGAATGTGAATTAAACATATGTTGTTTTTTTCATGCAACATAATATTTATATCATAATATATTATATTTGTAATAAATATTTATTTGCTAATGTCTTTATTCAAAACATTTGTCTGTCTATATAAAGAATTAGATATTACTTTACATAAATAGATATTACCTAAATATTGTGATTGTTGTTGGGGTAAAATAATTTCAATCATTTCGACAAACCTTCAAAATTTGTTTACAAAAGTTAAACAAATAAACTTATAGAACAAATTTATTTCTAAACTAAATATCTGTTTTATATTAGTGTTTTAACTGATGTTTATGAAAAAACAGATTAAGAAAATATTGAATTTGCAAAATAATAAAATCTAAGGTCAGCCAAAAAATCAATTAATTAATAAATAATAAAATTTCATTATAATTTACTACTGTTCAAAATAGCTATCAAAACAATAATTTTTATTAAAAAATTAAATTCAAATTAAAAAAAAAAAAATAATATATGTACAAAGTAATAAAATCTATTTTTAACATTCTAGTAAAAAATATTGGTGGAAACAATAACAGTAACACATCAGCAATATTGAAGAATTCAAGCAATGCTTCAATACGCAGCTTACTCAATAGTGCACCAGCTGCAATGACTAGCACACCTGTAGCAAGTGGTACATTTACAACTTCAACTGGACAGCAACAGACAGTTACTCTTGTCCAACATGCGCCTACTCAAGCGCAACATCAACACCAGACACAACAAAGACAAACTGTTAATACTGTAGATAGTTTTACACAAGCGACTCCACCACATCCTTCATCATCACCAGCACCAACGGTACAACGTAAGCATCAAAACGAAGTTCTACAAAATTTGCTTAACTCGAATCGTAAGATAAATATTGTTGGTGGTAACACAAGTGGAGCGACATTTCGCACAAACGCAGCTGGTAATCTAATAGCCGTATTAAATCAGACTGCAAACCAACATCAAGATCATCAACAACAGCAAACTTCGCAGCAAACCGTAAGAGTGTCAATGTCTGCATTAGCATCTCAATTAGCATCACCTCCTGCAATAATGACAAGCCCAGCAGCTAATTTTGGTTACTGTACCGTTAATAGTGGGGCTAGCGGTAGTAATAGCGGTAATACTATAAAAATACTAAACAGCAGTGGTCAACAGCCGAGAGTTTTGTCGAACGCATTACGTCGCGACTCTAACTCGGCACCACCAAATACTATAGTTGTAGGTATGGCAGCGCCATCACCTGGCAGTGATTCAAATGCTTCTAGTGCTAGTGGTTTTGCTATACCACAGGCAACTAATAATGCGACCGCTAATTTAAATGCGCTGCTGGCCAACGCTTCACCATCATCAACAGGTTCAGATCATGAGCGTCTAACAAGTGGTACAAATTCTAATGTAACTACAATGCCGAGCATGTCTCCACAACATTTGTCGAAAGCATTAGCACAGTCACCTGCTGGCTCGTCTATTCATTCACCTATGTCTAGTCCGCATCCTCAACAATCTCCTTCACCACAACATCACCAGCAACAACAACAAACTACAACCACATTAAATTTACAGGGTATTAATGTATCAACTCTACAGGGAGCCATGGCTAATTTTCCTGTACAAGTTCAATTGCCGGGCTACTCCCAACCAATATCATTGCAATTTTCCGGTAACAGTTTACAAACTGCTAACAATAGTGGTAATAGTGCTGGCCAAGCATTACAAACACAGCAACGTAGTCTTCTGGTATCAGTTCCTGTTTCATCTTCGACTCAACAACAGCAACAACATACTATTACGTTGCAATCTCAATTGCAACAGCAGCAACATGCTCCACCAACTGGTACGATAGTGAATTTACCCGCAGGTGCATCAGCAGCTACTGGCACACAAACAGTTGTTCTAACGAATAGTGGAGGTAATGCTGGAAATAGTAATAATGCGAATAATACAGGCGGAGGTGGAACGACAATGCTTACTTTGCCAATTGGTAAGTTCAAATGCTAACAAACATGATCTTTGAAATTCAATTCGATGATTAACCTTAGCGCGCTCAAACATAAATAAAACAAAGTAATAATAATAATAATAATAATAATAATAATATTATAGTATTATAGTGTTCTATAAAATTTTTTTTTTTAAATAAATTAAGATTTTTTTGTTTTCACTCCAATTGAAAAACATTTATTAGTTATTTCTTTTCTACCGAAAGGTGGCCAATTTTTATGATTATAATTGTTTTTATTTATTTTACAATAATTCGTTCGTATTTTATTTAAATATTCATTTAAAATCATAAAATTATTGTAGCATTTTAATACACCTTTTTAATAAATTTTTTATATAATTAATTTTTATTAAATTCATTTGCTACAAACATTTGTGTTATATTTTTAAACTTACTTTGTTTATTTATGCAAACTCTTATTACTATTATTATTTATCCAAACTTAAAAAAATAATAAAAACTTACAAATTTCCATAAATTGCAAAACTACACAAATTCTTTTCTCTTCCACATTTTCCATGACTTCTCGCCAAATCATTAATATATTACATCCATATTCCCATTATTATAAATAGTTCAGAAATTTTCATAAATAAAAATTTTGTTTATGTTTTCATTTGATAGTAAAAAAAAAAACAAACAAGCAAAATTGTTTTCATAAACCTAATTCCTTTGCACTTGCCTATTATTTATCCTTCATCCATGAAATCCCCTCAATTTAGTGACTGCATGAAATTTTGAAACCTAAAAAATTTCGGACTAGACACATTGTTATTTATTGTTTTATTATTTTTTTAATTTACTAACACACTAAAAGCAAACTATATTTTAAAAAAACATTTTTACATTTATTAACAATTCAAACCGAATCATTTAACCTAAACAACAACGAAAACCCGCGAACTTCCCCTTTAATTCCAGCTCAATTAGTCGGTCCCGGTGTACAAAAACTCAATCCTCAAACAATCCGTACCCAAGGTGGTGGTGGTGGTGTTGCAGGTGGGAATGTTATTGTGCAACAATCTCCGCAACAAGCGCAGCAACAAACTCAGCAGACTTTAAGTGTGAGCAATGCCGGCAATATCGGCAATATCGGCAGCAGTTCCAATAATCAGACTATACAATTAGTTGGAACGTTACAGCAGAGAGCGCGAAATATACAAGTTGTTGGTACGAAACAAATATCTAATCGACAGTTAATAGCGGCGCAACGAAATATTGGTGGATCAACATTGAAGATATCAACTACACCATTAAATGGTATGTTTGAATAATTATAATCGAGCTTTGTACACGTTAACTTCCTTATAATTATAATTTCATATGTTATATATAATTATTATAAATAAATTAAATTATTATTATTTTATAGTTATTATATTATAATAATTATAAAATTATACAGTAGAAGTAGTATTATTTTAGCTTTATTTTACTTCATTTTGAATATGTTGTATTACATAAAAATTTATAACAATTATATTATATATATAAAGCTTACAGCTATGGCATTTTTGCCGTCTGTTATTATATATAAATTAATTATAAGTTATAAATTATAACGTTATATTTTTATATATCTTCTATATATTTTATATCTACATATTTTAAATCTTCTATATTTATAAACGGGCTAATCGGTCGGTTTATTAAAACATAATTAATGTTAGACACACTCTACGACACTAAGTTATTTTATTTGATTTTTCAACGGTTTTGGATTAATTTGAGGGTGCTAAGCTTAAACCCCCCGTCTGCAACCCGTTTTTCTCGAAATACTGTGTGCGACTTCAAATATTGATAAATACACAAACCTTTTTACTTTGCATAATACTCAGTTCTGAAAAAGAAGTCAAACCAACTTTGAAACATCGGCGACATTTATATAGATTACTCTCTATATATATAATAATAAAAACAAAAATAAAATTTGATCTAAAGAATTTTGAAGAGAATGTGCAAGCAAAAAAATGTCAAGAATATTATCAATATTCTTCAATATTATCAAGAATAATAATAATATTATTGTTCAGCTTTTCCTAATCACTATTAGCGAAATTGTAGAGTACCAATTGCATAGCTTCTTTGTAAAATGGCACCAAAGAGGTGCTTTACATATAGAAAGTAAAAAATAGATAATCTCAAGAATTAACTTTCTATTCGTGTTTGTTTTTCGTGCTTGTATTTCCAAAGCAAGTGCTTTGGTTACTGTCACTTAAAAAGTAAAAAGTGACAAAAAACCTGGAGCTTGAGCACTGAAAGTTTGTGCAGCCTTGGATACTTGTGAAAAAACACAATTAGTCATCGCTTCTAATTTGACAGGCATGAGTTCTAAGTCTGGCACTTGCAGTCCAAACCAATTATATATGAACTGCAAACTAATTAAAAAGAAATTCGAATATTTCCTAAGACCACTGATGATGAGTACTTGGCAATACTCGAAACAGCGTTGTGTGATTAGCCAAAATTCAATAAATTAACTAAAAAATTTTGTACTTGTCTTTTCTTTACTTTTCAAATCCTTCTAAATGTTTGTTTATTTTTTTGTAGTAATTTCGCTTAAGATTCAAAAATAGTAATTCTTAAAATTAAAAAAATACTTATTATCTCTTATCTCTACTTATTATTATATTGATTATCTCAATATCTCAATTTTAACGCTTTTTTGACATAAACACAGATGTCTAGAAGAAAAACGGTCTGCAGTTTCGAGTTCAACGGTCTTAAATTAATCTAAAACTGTTAAAAATAAAGAAATCGACTTCGTTTTTTCCCACTCAGTGTAATTTATAGATTCTCCCATATTCGTTAAGAAATCAATGAATTATTAATAAATGTAAATAAATAATTTTTAATAATAATGTATATAAATAATAACAACTATGTATTATTACATGGTCCAATTAGCATTATGATAATTTATTTATTAAGGTAATAATTTCTAAATTCTGTATTTCAAAGTAAAAGTCGAGAATAGTTCTATTTTTTAAGAAACAGAAATTCATTTGAGTGATATATTTTAGTTATACGAGTAGGTATGCAAATAATTATAAAATAATTATTTAAAGGATCTTCAATTTTATTTTATTAATAAACATTTATTTGGAGTATGTTCTTATTGTTAAGTATTTAATTATTATAATTTAATATAATATTTCATAACAAGTATTAGGTTATGTGAATACAGTTTTAAGTAGGACTTCGAAGGGGAACTAAAATAAAAACCGAAATAATAATTTAATAAAAAAAACTATTTTTATTTATTAAGGAATAAATTTATTTATTTATTTATTTTATTAAGGAATTAAGGAATACAATGATTTTTATTATGGCAAAAAAAAATTCTACTGCAAATACATAAAATGTAGTAGGTAAGAACCAACAAAAAAAACAACTATACATTGTGACCGAAACGTTTCCGGAAATTTTAAATAAAACGCAAAATTCTTAATCTTCATCAATATTTATTTTATCTCCTTCAAAATATGCTCCATTAGAAGCGATACACAAATGCCAACGTTTCTTCCAATCATCAAAACATTTTTTATAGGCGCTTTCCGGTATGGCTTTGAGTTCCCTCTGCGAATTCTGTTTTACGTCTTATATGGATTCAAAACGCGTTCCTCTGAGTGGTAATTTGAGTTTGGGAAACAGGAAAAAGTCACACGGTGCAAGATCAGGTGAATACGGTGGCTGTTCGATGGTATTTATTGAATTTTTGGCCTTAAAATCGTTGATAATGTTGGCTCGGTGCGAGGGAGCATTATCGTCATGAAAAATCCATGAATTATCCTTCCACAATTGAGGCCGTTTACGGCGGATAGCTCTCACGACCGATGCCTAGCTCTCGTGCTATCTCTCTAACACTCACATGAGGATTTTGGAACACGATTTCCTTTGCCTTTTCAATGTTTTCGTCGGTGGTAGAGGCCGAAGGTCGTCCAGAACGCGGCATGTCTTCGACGGTCGTACGACCGTCCTGAAAGGCTTTGTACCACTCATAAACTTGAGTTTTCGATAAAACTGATTCCCCATAAGCCTTTTGTAGCATTCGAAACGATTCTGCACACGAAATTTCGTTCGAAACACAAAATTTGATGCAAACTCTTTGTTCAATATTTTTTTCCATTGTTTTTTTCGCAACGCACTACTGAGGTGAACTGGTTTCAAAAGCTGCCGTAAACGAACTGTCTGACAGATCGCGCTCATTTTTGGCATAGTAATTAAGGACAGTGCTGCCAAACTACATAAACTTAAAATATCGAAAAATATACAGCGCGCGAATTTTAAATGAGAATTTCCGAAAGCTTTTCGGTCACAATGTATTTGTCAAGAAATCTCTATTTTTTAATAGAGTTTTTTTATAATATGCTGTATCGGAGAAAGCGTTTAATTTAATTTGAATTTTATTATTGTATCATATTTTCTGTTTTTAGCAAGGTTATATATTATGATATTGCCTGTATTTTTAAATAATATTCGGACTTAACTCGATAAACTCAGAAACTGCATATTCCATTATATCATAAAATGATAGACGAGTAAAGTCATTTTTTTAATTCTTTCCGATAAAGTCGTAACTGCACTTTTAAAGCATATAATTATTTTTTTATGTAAATTTTGCTTTACATAAAAAAGGGCAAAAACGAAATTATACATTTTTACTGATTTACGCCATTTCTTACCGAGCGCGTCTAAATACCCTAATAACAATTCTCTGTATTAAACACAGTTCCTTAGCAGTTTACCAGATAGTCTTAGTAGCAACGTTTAACTTAATTTTTTCCTACTGTGTCACTCTCCCGTTTTAGTATTGTGATATGAATATATTACACTATCAAACATTTTAAAAGATGTCTGGACCGAATTATTGGAATTATCATGTTTTTACTATTACAAATTTACCATATTAGTTATCAAATTCCTTTACTAATCCCCAATTACAATAAGTTGGGTATTGAGTATATACAATAGTATATATTGCATATACACCATGCTCTGAAGATACTTAAAATGTTAATATACTAAATGTTAGCCGTAATTGCATAGTTTGTCCAGCTTACATGTAAATAAAACGGTGTTGGTTTATAATTTAAACACTACCCCATATATAATCTTAAAAGATGTTAAATTATAATTTAAACAGTACCCCAAATTTAATCATTAAAGATGTTAGATTATAATTAAATCACTACTCCATATATAATCTTAAAAGATGTTAAATTATAATTTTAACACTATCCCATATATAATCTTAAAAGATGTTAAATTATAATTTAAACACTATCTCATATATAATCATTTAAGATGTTAGATTATAATTTAATCACACTAATCAATATACCATATATAATCTTAAAAGATACTAGATTATAATTAAATCACTACTCCATATATAATCTTAAAAGATGTTAAATTATGATTTTAACACTACCCCATATATAATCTTTAAAGATATTAGATTATAATTTAATCACACTAATCATATCTAATCATAGACTTAAAAGATACTAGATTATAATTAAATCACTACTTCATATATAATCTTAAAAGATATAAGGATATAATTTAATCACTACTCCATACATAATCTTTAAGCGCGGTGCAGACTATCATGTTTGAGTGTTATTCAAGTTGCGCTCTCTCTTGCTCAAAATTATTCTAACGACCGAACTTAAACATGTTCACATTCAAGAGTTGTCATTTAAGCAAAATTTTTGAAGAATAGCGGTGTTTGCGCACGCTGTAAATATGTTTCGCACACTGTAACTGTGTTACTGCAACCACGTAAAAATATGCTCTTGAATGACAAATGCAAGTTTTTGGGTAGTAAACTATAATTCACAACATGTTGGTGAGATGCTGAATGATGTGTTCAGTTGAATAACAATCAGAAATAATAGCCTGCACTGCGCTTTAAAGATGTACGATTAAAATTTAAATATTATATCATATGTAATCTTAAAGGATACTAGATTATAATTAAATCACTACTCCCACATATAATCTTAAAAGCTAAGCATCAAACTACAATGTTTTTCTTTTTCAGCTACCGGAAACGCTATAACATCTACAGCAAATCTTACTGCCACACCTATTGTTATGTCAGGCCAAAAACTACAACTCAAAACAATAAAAGCATCGCAACAACAGCAGCAACAACAACATCGTATTTTTAACCAAGTTACTGCTTCAGCTATTGCCGCTGCTGCTGCACAACAACAACAGAATTCCGTACAAAACTCCCAACAGCAACAAACGCAAGGAGTATTAATTGGACAGCAGCAACAACAACAGCAACATCAACAGCATATACAAATAAGCAGTCGCACACCGTCAGGTACATTGACACAACGTACCATAAACGCTTTAGCAGCAGCTGCTGCTGCAAAGCAACAACAACAACAGCAACAGGCAGCTGCTGCAGCCAATCGAAGACGATCAGCAACTGATGCTAACAAATAAAATAAAATAACTGAACAATACATTTTGAAATATATATAAAATAAACTACTAAAATAAAACATAGTACTAAGACTCATCTTACGAATGAGTTTAATTTAATATGTAGCAATATAACTTATACATTTATATCTGTGATTTAAAGGTAAAATTTATTGAGTAGATATTGTTTAATAAATGTTTCTCGTTATTTATAACGCAGTACTGTGTTTACCATTCTTTAAATGTATATAGGTATATAAAAAATTCGCATGTTTGTACTATTTTTGTATTAACTACTTAATGAATTTGAATATGATATCAATTATAATTTATAACTTAAGTTATAAGTTCAATTATAATTGGATCGACCTTTAAATTTACTGCATATAAAACATAAGTTAACATGTTGTCTCCAACATTTAGAAAACACATAATACATAGCAAAAGTAATTGTTATGCTTTATATAAATATTTTATATATATATAAAATCATCATTAAGTTTACTTATATAGTATAATGTATTTATATTATATATAGTATATATATGAATGTATAAAGTATGCTTATATTTGGCATGTATAAAATACTTTGTGAAATATATACATTTTACATACATCATAATTTATGTATTTTTATAAAATTAAACAGATAAACTTTAATAGATATTATCTGTTTTATAAAAATAATGGAACATTGAACCGTTGTTTAAAGTTTTAAATTTATTAGTAAATAATATTTTAACTATAGTATTTAAATAATTTTTTTTTGTCGTATTAATTTATTTTAAACGAAAACTTTTTTCGATTATCAAATTTATTCTAAAATCGTAACATTTAATTGAAAAATTTACATATAAACTTTTTTTTAAATATCATTTATTATATTACAAATATATCAACGGTTTGATAATTTAATATCATCCATATTTTAATTAAAAACTTGTGTTTTTTAAATGTTTTAAGAACATTTTTGTATCTCACAATACTGCATACTACAAAACAACAAGCATAAGCAATAATTGGGAATATTGTAAAATAAAATTTTGAATGAAATTAATAAATAAATTACATGTTCTTTAAATAAAAATTGTAAAAATTTTATAATATTAGGTTTAGTTATGATTAATTGTTTTTAGTTTTATATGCATATAAAACGGAAAATGTTTTTATGAATAGCAAATTTTATTTAACATATAATAGTCTATTAAATAATTTTTAATTTAGGAAATCGATTAAGACAAAAAATTGTTTTATTTTATTTAGTGCTAATTATTTATTTCAATTTAATTACTTTTTAAATGAGAGTATGTAAACGAAAAGATATTAAGAAAATAAGTTGAAACATGTACAAAGTATAAGCAGTTTAAATATGTAAGTTAAAATTAAAATTTTGCTTAGTTTTATATATATTTATTTTATTTCCATTATTTTATATTATACAAAATGAAGATAAATTATATTGTAAGAACATAAAAAAGAAATTAAAAACAAATGTGATTATAAAATTAAAACAAAAATAAATGATTTGCATATTTTTATTGTAAAGAATTACTAAAATTGTTGTTGCGTTTGTTATTATAAATAATATAATTTGCCATATTAAAATTATTTTTTTATTTGAGCATCATAAGAGAATGAATATTTCATATGTTTAGAATGTTTAGAATTTGTTAAAATGTTTAGAAATGAGCATATACTCATCGTTCACTTGGTGAATTGGTGAACACTATTTTAACATTCTTTACATCACTCACTCATAAACATCCAAACGAACAATAGAATACCAGCATATTTACATACATACATACATACCAATATTACATTAAAACAAAATCGTATATAGACAAACTATGCCAATTTTATATTAAAGGGTAAAAATTATATAGTAATTAAAAAAAATAAGCCTGAAAAAAAACTGACTCACTAATAGATACAAAATTTAAGCTTAAAAGTCGAACGTAAGACTATTTATATACATATAAAAATTGCAAATAAATTTATGCAAACAAAAATCAAGCAAATAATATAATTATTTCAAAATTATTAAATAATAAATGAATGAATAAAATATTATTTATAGCTATTATTAACTTATATTATATATAAATATAAATGTAATTGCATGAACAAAATATAATAATTTATATCTATTGCAAGTCTGTAAAATATTGTAAATTTTAAATACAAAATTATATGTTAAATTTGCTGATAATGATAATATACTATGATAATATTAAGTGTAATTAATTACTAAATTAAAATTTCAAGAAAAAAAAGATTATTTATATAAAAAATAATTAAATTAAAATGCATTAAAATTGCTTCACCAAAAATACCTGAATTGTTTATAGTCTTTCCAAGTTAATATTTGTAAAAAAATTATGTAATACATTAACATTTAAAATAATTCTCAAAAAATTAAATAATTAAATTTTATTATCGAACTAACTTAAGTAATAAAAAATGCTATATTATTTAATAAAAGCAAATATACGAGAATTGTAAATTAAAACAAAAAAGTACACGAATTATTTTAATTAAATTACATGAGGACAGTGGTAGCACAATAGATCTCATCGGTTGGGGTGTATACCATTGTCCATTCATTACATATACACACACACATACATGTACGTGCGAAGTATTAGATATTTATTTTGATCGATTTAGTTATAATATATTTTTGTTTATCTTTAGGTTTTAGAATTCAAATTAAATACACGAAGTATTTAAAAATTTAAATTGTTTCCTAAGACTTTGTAGATTCTTTTTTAGATTCGCGTTAAATTATAATTCACAGAAATGTTTTTTAATCGGCAATTTGGTTAATTTTTATGAATGAATATAATTTTAAGATCCAATTTGTTTAAGTAGTTTCGAGAAACAATATATAGATGTGATTCGGTACGCTCGTATAGTTCGAATCACAATTTTAAACTTTGTTCTTAATATAGATTACATTTCTTTTCTATTTAATGACGGTTACGTTCATTAGATGCTGTCAAATAAACTTGAAAAAGGCGCCTCCTTACCTGATCATCATAGCTGTAGTCTTTGGAGATTTTGATTTGTATCAGGTTGATTCAATGTTATATATAACATCAGAACAATAGTTTGATGAGTGAAAGTTCTTCACTTATTGAACTATAATTTCCTACAACAAGCACGCCTCTGAACTAAAGTAGAGAACTTACTCAGGGAATAGATACTTAGCCAAAACTTGTGATTTTTTAAACAGCTGGAGCTACTCCTGCAAAAATTATTACTGATCATTCTCAGATAAGTAGCAACTCAATAAATCTTTTCCAACGTGGACATATTAAAACGGTTCCATTCCTAGGCTATCTATTCAAACTAAGGAAACATAATTAAATGCATACATACATTTGAAGCAATTCATTTTAATAAACATCTATTTTTTGTCTTTATTTTTGCAATGATATTTTTCCTGATAACCAAACTGCAATATATTCAATGGATGCTGGCAAATTAATAATTTCGAATCTAAACATTATACTGATGTAGTATATGTTAAAAACATAATATCTGACGCAAATGACAACCACATTCAATTACTGAATTTAGTAACAAAATATGCTGGAGTATACAAGTTTCCAGGCAACCGCAATAGTTCAGTGGATGGATCTATTGTGGCTGCTTTGTTGTATGTTTTTGCATAAAAACCACTTTCAGTTACTGAATGTGGTTCTCATCTGCGCAAAGCATTATAGTCTTCAAATAACGTTAATCATAATTAAATATTTTTGATTTCAAAACTAATTTTAATTATTTCAATATAACTCACTTTTTATACTAAATACCTTCTGTAACTATTTTTTTTATCTTAACTAATTTTTAATATAAGGTCGTAGTAATAGTGGGGAATATTAAAAATTCAAAAGAAATTTTTTTAACTAGATGAATTCTTGGGTGACCATATAATTGTTTCAGATACTGCCAAATACCGATCATGGTTTAATTTGTCCGTTGAGGCTCTATGCTTCAGTGGGTGATACAGGAGCTAATAATAAAGGTGACATAATTTTTGGAACCCAAATGTCAGGAATTTAACCTTGTTAACTTTGGATCGTAGACTAGTGTGTGATCATATAAACCCAAAGTACACTTAATCTCAGTGATAAAAATTTCAAGTTTTATCATTGTTTATTAATTATTCCTAAACAAACGAAACGTGTGGTGTGCTGCTAATTAGAACTAACGCATAAACCATAGCTATATAAATTAACTTTATCGTTATACATTTTTGGTTTTTCATACTTTAACACTAATGTTTTGTAGAAAACATGTCTGAATATATACTTTAGATCGCTTGCTCTCTGCAAACATGTTTATAGAGTTTTGACTTATCGAATTTTTATTTTAAATAAATTATTTATTTATTTAGTTTTAATAAAAATTATTGTAAATAATAATTCTAAATTTCATTACAGAATTGATTACAGCAAATCAATAATAGTTTTGATAATTATAAAGCAATGTATTAAAAAAATAGATTTTTAGTTTAAAAGGTGAAGAAATCAGTTTTTAGTATCGATTTAAATAACATAAAAAATGTGTTTTCATTTACGTATTCCTCATATTATTAAAAAGTAATATAAAAAACAAAAAACGACCTAAACCCCCGGCAAAAAAAAAATGTAGAAATATCGAAAGAATTTTAAATATCGCCAAACCTTTATCATTAATGATTTTTGGTAATATTTTAAGGTTTAATAGTTCGTATATAATTTTGAGACGGCAATATATTTTGAACTCCAATCATTTTCAGATTTTTGCGGTCCAAAACTTTTTTATATGAGCTATTAAATCTTCAAATTTTTCTAATTTTTCTGATCATTAATATTTAGCAATATTGACCAACATCTCTTGCTCTCTGTCAATATCTCTATGGTCAGCCCAATAATTCAAATTTTTGTATTTAAAATTTATTCACTATAAAACCATCTCTTGCAATGTTGATCAAATATTTTATAATTCACACATATATATTTCCTACTTCCTAATTAGAGTATTAGATTTAAATTTGTAGTGTATTCTTGTTGTGATAATAAATTGTTTTAAACAGAAAATATATTTGGCTTAAACTAGATCATTAAGTAGTCATTCTACTCACTATTTCTAATGTACGTGTAAAACCAATATAAAAAAGAAAATTATGGAAAATTCTAAAT